GGCTGAGAACTTCCAGAGTTGTCCATCAGAGATCTTGAAGAGGAGGACAGTGTCCGAGAACCAACCCAGATGGGGGCAGATAAGCGTGTGTTCAGTGGGGTCCTAGACCACCTAAATGCCACCGGACGCACCAGAAGCTAGAATGGATTCCCACTGGGATGGTCGATGTCCCCAAATCTGGCTAATCAGCCTAAGAGAAGGGGAAGGAGATTTAATCTCCAACATAGTTGTTAAGTACGAAACAGGAATGGTTGCGAGATTTGGGGTAGGGATCTGCTGCTCAAAGCTATACTAAAGATCCATGTGTAAGGGATCGATGGCCGTAGAGTCTCAAAGGTTAGAATCAAGGCCCATGTGTATTGGGGATCGAGCTCCTTTATTACATAGGATGAAGAATTATTATATAAAGGTGTGAGATCCTATATGCCAGAAGCAAAGTTCCCAAGGGCATTTTTTTTAGTTTCTTAACTCAAGGAGTGCATTCGTAAAAGTGATCCAACATATTATGGAGCGAAGAATGACTTTTGTAGGAGTGATTTCCATTTTCTTAACACGAGTTCCTCATATAGGTAATAAGGATTTGTGGCTTTAAAATGTAGCTCCCAAAGTTGTTAACCAATAACATGTTGGCTTAGTCTTCTATGAAAATAAATACGGAACTCTAAAGTGATCCCATATTGGTGGGATCTAGATGCCAATTATGGCGATGCTTGTGTTCCGTCCTTTGGAATCTAGATCCCTATGCGCTCTGAAGCACGAACCATAAGACTAGGGAACTAGATCCTATAGTGTTTAGGAAAGCAAAATTAAATTTGAAGGAACTTGCTCCCTTATAAGATGGAGAGAGATCTCGAAAACACTAAATTGAGTTTCAGACGAGATCCACTTTGAGATCGAGAGAATCAAGGTTCTGCAAGGGATCGCCAAGCAAGGAAAGCGACTCCGGTAACTATGGTCTCCAAGAGAGAGAGGATGGAGGGGCATAGTCTGGATCAAAGGTCGTGGGCAGAAGAACATTTCAAGGGTTGGCCCAACCCCTTAATATTCCATGAGACGACGAGCTTCTTGGCGAAATCAGCGAGGTGTGGGCCAACCTAGCAAACCATCTAAGAGGTGGGGCAGAGAAGGTGGGGGGGGGGAAGGAGGTGGGGCAAAGAAGGGGGGGGGGGGAAGGAGGTGCAGCAGAGGGAGAAGTTGAGGCTGTAATAGAATTTGGGTGAGCTTCCAAAAGCAAGGCGATGTCCTCCAAAGAACAGAAAGAGCTTACCTCCATCCTGGCTTGGGCATTGGCTTGAAAGAAGAGATGAAACAGACCTTTTGTGTCAACGTAGGGAAAGCCCATTAGACGAAGAATGTCCTTCACTTTGTCTTACCTTGTCCATACAGTCCACGAACGAAGAAGTCACATGGGGGGAGAGAAGGGTTAGAAGAGGAGGGAGGAGAGAGGTGAGGAGCTAGAAGTCTGAAAAGAGGGGAGGGAAGTAGAAGTGAAGGCCTCGAGGGAAGGGGGAGAGAGAGAGGGATAGAAGGGGAGAGGAGCCGGGGAAGAGGGTAGCGTTAGAGGTTATGAGGGAGGAGAAGAGTGCGGGCGAGTGGAGAGGGAGAGAATAGGAGAAGAGGGGGTGAAGAGGGAGGAGCTTGGAAACGAGTGGCTAGTGGCGGAATGGGTGCCAGAGGGGGGGGCGGGTGGGGTGGGGTGGGGTGGGGTGGAAAAAGGGGAAGGGGGAGAGGAAAGGGGGAAAGGGTCCAAGAAAGGGTTATAGAGGAGGGATGGAGGACTTGGGATGAGATTGAAAGAAGGGGCTGGGATTGAGTGGGGTAAGAGGCCAAGGTGAAGCATCTGGTAGGGTGGCCAAGGGAGTAAGGGCATAGTGGTGGAGAAGAAGCCTTGAAGGATGGGGCCCACAAAAGGGACACAGGTCGCAAGAAGCCCCCGAAGGGAAGGCGATAGGTAGGGAAAGATGAGGGGTTCGGCCTCCAACTCCGAGGGGGGAAGGTGATGAGGGGTAGTCCATGTTGGCTTCCTATGAGGACGAAGGTTTAGTCGCAGATGTCGATAGGTCTGAGGAGCCGAGAGTGCAAACTAGGGGAGGAGCGATCACAGGCCCAACGGAGGCGGTAGGTAGGGAGGCTATGTCAGGGACCAAGACTGCAGCAGTGAAGGGGAGTGAGTGGGTGTCGCTCGGTTAAGCTAGGGTAAAGGGTTGGGACCAGGAGAGGGGAGGGAGGCGGGGTATTCTGGCCATGGGGAGATGCGAGTGGCGAAGAGAGAAGAGTGGGGCCGCAAGAGGTGGTGGGGAGGGGTGCACAGTCAAAGGGGAAACGAGAGGCTGGGGAAGGTGAGGGGGGGGACAGCCCAGAATTGGAGTTAGGGCGAAATGGTGGAGGGGCTGAGGCAGCGACAATGTTACCGAGGGATGAAGCGGAGCGGAGGGGTGGAGGAAAGTGGCGCTTGCGGTGGTTCTAGAGTTAAGGGCTGTTTGAAGAGCGACGTTTCCTAATAACCAGCGTCCACAGGTTAGAGGGGCGCTCCAGGTGGGTCGGAATAGCGAGGGGGGGGGGGCAATAGAAATGTTGAAACGAGGGAGAGGCAAGAGTCCAAGATAATCGAATCCTGCAAAAAAACCTCCTCAACATCGAGCCACAGGGAGGAGGGTAAGAGATTGTAGTCCAAGACCTCAACCAACAGTTGCATGGAACCCAACAGAAGAAACTCAATGGATCTCCGATTGATGGCCACAAAAGACCCACAAGCTTCAGATATCCTTTGGTAAGTGGTTGGGGCAAGAGCATGCAAAGGGATGTGGGAAGCTGTGACCCAAACTCTTTGTTTGCAAAAGGAGCCTTCATCTTGGGAAAAGGGGCGGCGGAGGGAGAGTTGGGCTCCTTTAAAGGTTACAGAACCGTCTGAATGAAGAGCACGAAGCGCACTGCTCTCAGAGGGTAAGTTGAAAAGAATGGAACCATCTACGGGTAGGCGACAACCGAGAAGGGGCTCCCCCTAACAGTTCTCGCCCAAACTCTCAAGGGCCCGAAAGTTGTCCTGGCGAGGGGAGAAGGGAGCATAAGGAAGGAGTGAAGATTCGCACGCATCAGAGTCCAGATAGCATTGGGAACAGCTAAGGGGCAACGAGGAGGGGTGGTGAGCAGGTTTGGTGGTGGTGGGGGGGGCAAAATGAGGATGGTGAGGAGGTTGCGGCCTCACCATGGTGAGGATAGAAATGTTTTCCATTAAAAATGGAAGTTGAGCATCAAAAGCATCATTAACTTCCAAGTTGTAAGCATGAGTTTCGTATTGCAGATAAAAGGGCTTTCAACACTGTCCATGCCCATAATTGGCTTTAAGATGAGAAAAACACATGCCATCATCTTTTGAGTGCATTTTTTAAAAAGAAATAGAAATTTAAGGTCGAAATGGAACAACATTTCAGCCACATTTGTGACAAAATGTGAAGCAAAACTTTGAGAAAAGTGGAATCTTTAGCAAGGTTTCAAGCAGCTTCCAGAAATATTAACCAAAGTGCATAGAACACAAAGAGTGCTAAGCACTTCAATCAACTAAAATTTTCATCGGGATTTTCTTTGCTTGAGTGTATTTTTTTTTTTTTGAGGAGTTCCTCTCAACAAATATACATAACACAAATATGTGGCATAGTGTTCAGAGCAGATTGCAGCACTTAACTAATTCGGAGTATCTATGCTTCCTGAAATCTAGAGCTGTACTCTTCCCAAAAATCTGGAGCTGTACTCTTCCCAAAAATCTAGAGCTGTACTCTTCCCAAACTTTTATTTAGACCTTCCTTCTCATGACAGCCCTGCAACAGCAAGGAAGGTCTTGATAGACTTGCTAGGATTTGTGATTCGGCTATTACAAAAGCGGCCACCCACTTGATATGCCAGAGAGTACCTTTCATCTGTTCACTAAATGTGTATGTAATAGGATAACTGCAACAAAAGGCGCTTACCCATGCAAGATTCCATATCCTGTGGAAGAGATCACATATCTCAAGCTAGTTGGGTGGAGGACAATAATTTCCATCATTTCCTTGAGAAATCAATGAAACAGGCTAATGCACTGGTGAGAGAGATTATCTGAAAAGCTTCTGTCAGAAACTTGGCTCTGATGCCTGGTTCCTACTTAACGTTTCTAATATACATATGCATCTACAGCCCCGTGTGCAACTTGAAATGCCCTAAGAAGTGGCTACTTTAAAGACTGGTCGATTATCAAAAAAAAGTTCACAATATTATTTATATGGAAAAAACAAATCACAAACATGAATGCACAATTACTAACTAAATATCAATAATTAACAAATGTTAATTTCGCTTAATTCTAAGAAAGAAATGATTAAGAATTCGCCAAATATTTCAGTTTCAGATCCCTTAACACACTCAAAATCAATACCTCCTGTTCAAAAATGCATTTAAGAAAGGGACCCCATTTTTTACATGTAAACAGATTGTGTGAACACATGTTCCAATCTCCAAATTGCAACAAAATGAATATTTTGGATCCATTTTCCCCATAATTGTTTCCTCTGCCCATGCTTTTGCAGAGTGATGAACCTAATCCCAAAATCACCCAAAACGCATTGGATTTACAAATAATACAAAGATCTAATACTTGTGGCACCATTCAAATTCATGCAGCAGCCATACACGAAAGTTTGTCAATACAGTTCAGGAAATCAAAAAAAATAGAAATAGAAAACATCTTCAGCCAAATTTAGGGTTCGAAAATCAACTGACACAGATAGATCCAGACAAAGTACAATCATATTTTCTTCATTGTAACTTGAGAAAAAAAAAGTGGGGAATTCATCTCCCAAAGTATGGTCTTTTCTGAAGCCATTTGTCACGAGGCATCAAAGTATATTGATCAGACAACAACTATTAATATTTGCATCATCAAGGCAAATCCAAATAAAAGGAAAACATGTGGAACCATTAGAAAGGCTTATATTCAATATATGATGAGAGAGTTGATAAGAACTTACTTGCCAGATGTGCTCACTGAAAGAACTGAATATGAATCATGGGGAACAGGGGCCCCTAGGTGCTTCTTTGTCTGCTTAACAGGTAATGGCTCTATTGACTCTGCCCTTGACCGTTCTGTTTCAGGCAAAGAACCAGTGCTTCCTAAAGAAGGACTTGCAGGCGCAGACAACTGAAAACTCAGCTGTCTAAGTTCTCTTTCAACAACAAACACAGCAGAATGTTCTCTATTTCCTGGAGGTGTTGGTAAAGGAACCACAGCCGGTAGAGACCTAGCATCAAATTCACTGAGAATCACACCAATATTGGTACCAGTTGCTACAAGGTGTGGTTGCAAAGGATGTGCAACCATGCAATATACCTACACAATGGGCAAAAGTTTCAGATCCAGAATGCAATTATATACCACAGGTGTGTTATAGAAACACAATTAAAAATTAAAGAGAGCACAGAAGCACTCATAAATAAGTAATATAGACTGAACCAGAGCAGAAGACAAAAGGTGAGGGTTCCAGTCAGGTCAAAATCAGTCAAATTGGACCAGTCATTAAAAAAAAAAGAGATACAGAGAGAGAGAGAGAGAGAGAGAGAGAGAGAGAGAGAAAGAAAATAGACGAAAATAAAAAGTAGAAAAAATTGGGAAGAAAATTATACCAGACTAGTCTGCCCTGCCATTTTGAAAGGAGTTTTAATCAGTGTTGATCAATTTCCAATGTTGGGTTAGGCCGAACAAACTAGGCCAGTTCCCGGTTCAACCAGTCTGACCAACCAATCTAATCCAGTCCTTATGATGACAGAACATATTATACACATTTCACATAAGAAGCTTGCCTTGTGGGAATCAATCCAATGATCCTACTCCAATGTGATCACCGGAATAATCTGCATTCTACGAACCTTCTGCGCACACATCAGTTCCCCGTAACACATGTAGTATTCGGTACTTTTGGGGTGTAACATAGGATTCTCTTCACTAATTTCTAGCAGTCAGGCCTCAAGCTGCTTTGGTATTTTCTCACCAGACTCACGGAAAAACATGGGTTGGGTGCCTAGTATCATATACATAAAGATCCAACTGTACTAACATATAGCACCTTCTCCGTATACTTGAACTAAGCTTTCCCCCTTGGAGACACAGCTCAACTCACTTTGACTCTATTCTCCACTGAAGAAATCACAAGTTTGCAATTTTCCATGGAAAACTTTCAAGAACCTTTCTAGTTTCTAAAATATGAGGCTTGTGAGAAGTAAATGGTGTGCACAGCATATTATCTTGATCTCCACTATATACAAGGCCTCACTAAGGTCCTTCATTTTAAATTTCGAGACAAAAAGCATTTTCTTTTTCATTTACGAGAGCTAACAAGTTGCTAACAATCGACATGTCACACAACATATCTCCCACTAACCTTGACATATACACAATAATCTTCTTCATTTAGAGTGAGCCAAACTGTGCCAAGGCTTCATGAAACTTCAAGTTCAACCACGAGGCTTGTTTTAGGCCCTACATGGATCTATGCAATTTGCACGCTAAGTTCTCTCTCCCACTTCATTCGGAAAGAAGTACTGACTGGATACATCAACCTTTTAGTTGTGGCAACAGATGAGCAAACTATGAAAGGGCTCATAAAAGGTTTGCATTTTCTGAAGTTTGCAAAGTTCAAGGGACGACTTGGAGTCACAAGAAGAGAATCACAGCGTTGCAAAGTTCAACGGACGACTTAGAGTCACAAGAAGAGAATCACAGCGCTGTGGGGGAGTCTTGAAGATCGTCGCTGATTTGGTTAGAAGTCCGTAAGTAGTAGGATTGGTAGTCGAGGGTCCTAATTGGATTAGGATTTTGTTTACTTAAAAAAATTAATAAGAGTCCTAAATGGATTAGGAATGCGCTTAAATAAAAATTGAGAACTAAAGTCCTAGTCAGATTTCGATTGTGTTTAACATAATAGAGTTCAACTTCTATTTGGTTTTAAAAATTTCATTGGTAAAGATTAGAATTACTTGATTAGTCTTCTAGTAAAACTTGCCCTCTTAGTTATTTTAGAGTTACTTGTACGAATAGTCTTCTAGTAAGACTTGTTTCTTAGTAACATGTGTGTGCGCGTGCGCATCTATATATATATATATATATATATATATATAAGTAAGGTAGTGGTTGTATAGACGTACGTAGTCTACTAAACTAACTACTAAAGTAGACGTACCTACCTTACTAAGTAGTGTACTAAGTAAAGTGTTGGTTTACTAATACGTAGGTAATT